TCTCCAAACTGACAGGTGGATGACAAAGTGTCTCATCTCACAAAACAAATGCGAGATGAAGCACAGACCAGACCTGTCTTCATGGCCTATTTGAGCGAAACGTGAGATTGTCATTGTTTCAAGTCACCGCAGGGCTCCAAGTGTCACATAGTCGCCCGTTGAACAATACGCGGCCTCTGTGTTTGTAAAAACGGCAGACACACAGTGGTTGCGTCTGTAACTCTAGAGCGCAGCATTCAGCTCTGGTTCCTCTCTGACCTTTAGGTGATGCTTTATGATCAGCTCTTTCTAAAACACCTTCAAACCTCAAACCCTCCGACTCTGAATGCAAATGATGGGTATCACCGTCACACCCAGCAAAACCGCATCGAGATAAAGGCGTATTGTAGGCATTCGGAGAGAGGACTGTGATATAACTACAACGTCGGTTCAACGTTGAAACAATGTTTTGTTAATGTTAGAGCTAACATTCTGCGAAAATCCCTATGATGTCAAAATATTGAAAGAAATATGTCAATCAATCATAAACTGGAATTACTTTCTTATAAGTGGAGCAAAAAAATGAGACGCTTTGGAGCATGTTCAGGCTGCACTTAACAATGAAAGTGGATAGTGACTGGGACTGTCAAACTAAAGGAAATACAAAAAAACATAATAAAAATCATCCAAACTATTTGTTTTACTAATTTATTACAAAAGTGCTTCCTTAATAAGGAACAGACTGAAGCTGATTAACAGACTCAATAATGAACTACAACAGTTTAACCTTTAAACAACGTTTTATTAACGTTGCATCTAATATTCAGAATTCGAAATTTTAGTCAATTTTAAAAAAATAAAATCAATATAGATATGAAATTTATGCTTGCTGAATTGTCAGTTTAACATTTAAACATTTTATTGTTATATCTAACAGACTGTGACATCGATTTCTGTGGTCGAAATATTGTAAAAATTATATAATCATGAAATATAGCGAATCAAATTTTAAAACACATACTTCCAAAATATTTGTAAGTAATCAGTCCAATAATGAAAGTTCGGTCATCATTGCCACAACCTCATGTGCAACTCACACAAGAATGACTTTTATTCCATCAAACACAAAAGAAGATATTTTGAAGCATGTTCAGGCTGCACTTCTTTATGATAAAGGGGATGGAAATTTCAAGTCTTTCTCATACTGTGAAATAAGCTTTATTATTTGGTAGAATGTCAAACTATTTATTTCTGTTACATCTAATATTGTCTTATACTGTCTGTTGTCAAAATACTATAAAAAGTTTTAGAATAATAGAATTTCAAATTAAACATAAAAAAACTTCTAAAATATGTCATATTTGTTCGGTCATCAATGGCACATCCTCCAATGCAACCCAAACCAGATTGACTGAACTGAACTGAACTGCGAAATGAACTGCCAACTTATCCAGCACATAAAAAAGATAAGTTTTTACACAGCAGATGCCCTTCCAGCCGCAACCCAACTCTGGGAAACATCCACACACACAGACTCGTACACTACGGACAATTTAGCCTACCCAATTCACCTGTACCACATGTCTTTGGACTGTGGGGTAAACCGGAGCAGGGAGAACATGCAAACTCCACACAGATACACCAACTGAGCCGAGGTTCGAACAAGCAACCCAGCGACCTTCTTGCTGTGAGGCGATAGCACTACCTACTGCGCCACTGCCTCGCCACACACATCCTTATGTGCAACTCAAACCAGAATGACTGTTTTATTCCACTGAACACAAAAGAAGATAGGATAAAGAAAAGATAAAAGGGGATGAAAATTGTGCTGAATTCCAAATCTTTCTGAAACTGACGAAAAAATGTTCTCTTATATGGTCTGTGGTCATAATAACAACTATAAAACTGTTATACAAATGAACATTTTCTAACTTCTAAATCTCAAAGCAAAACATTATTTACTTTCTAAAAAATGTGACGTATTTATAAGTATTTGGTCAACTACTCAACAATCTGTCATCATCTACACAACCACGTGCAACTCAAAACCAAAATGACAGTTTCTTCTGTTGAACACAAATAAAAGCGTTTTAAAGTATGTTCAGGCTGCACTTTTCCTTAAAATGAAAGTGAATAGGGTCCAAGAATATCAAGCACCAAAAAGGCACAAATAAAAGCATCATCTGTATGCCATTTAAAACTGGAGTGACTTTCAAATACATGAAGTGTAAAATGAAATGCTTTGGAGCATGTTCAGGCTGCACGTTTCCTAACAGTGAAAGTGGATGAGGGCTGGGACTGTCAAACTAAAAAAATATATGAAAAAACATAATAAAAGTGGTCTCAACTCAACATTCTGCAGTTATCTACACATCCACGTGCAACTCAAAACCTAAGTGACATAGCTTCTTTTGTGGAACACAAATAAAAAACTTTTGAAGCAGCACTTTTTTTAACAATGAAAGTGAATGGGGTCCAGGACTTTAAGCACCAAACTAATGAAAATATAAAAAAAAAACATTATAAAAGGGGTCTCAACTCAACACTCTGTTATCATTTACAGATCCATGTGCAACTCAAAACAACATTGTTTTTTCTGTGGAACACAAATAAAGATGTTCCGAAGTATGTTCATGCTGCACTTTTCCTTACAATGAAAGTGAATTGAAGACTATCAATTACCAAAAAAGCCACAAATATTAGTAGTCCAAATGACTTGTACAATATTATAATGCCAAGCTGTGTTTTTTGTCTCTATTTGAACAAAATCTTGCTTGAGAGGCACAATCTAAAGCATTTTAATGACACAATAAGACCAGCACACGATTTAATTAAAAAATGTACTTATTAACCACTAACACACAATGCATCTCACTAAAATAAACACTAATTTCCACCAGACAAACACAGTTTGCCCGCCAACCACTTTAAGGCTCGAAAAGCGAACAACTTATTCCGACGGTTAGTGTGATGAATAAAAGATGTTGAGACGGTCTCAGGGCGAGACGCTGGCAGTGGGCGGCCGACACATGCTACATTTTCCCTCATCTTCCCCCTTCTGTCATTGAAACCGCAGGCGATGACCTTGAGAAATATCCTCATGGCCAATAGGAACTCTTTGTTTCCCTCAGCCTCTCAAAATCTGCTGAGGATGCCAATGTATAATACACTTATTACTGAAGGAGCAGATGTTTGTTTTGTGGAATGCAATCTGGAGGCCGAATGCACTGTACATTTGGTCTTTATCTTATAGGAAGAATACATTGTGAATAATGGTGATGTTGTTCAATTTGAATTTCCTTCCAAGCTTATGTTTTATTTACGTGTTTATGTGCGAGAATCATTTATCTCCTTTAGCTTATTTTGGGCATACAATTAGATGCTAGCATCCCAGAGGAATTCCGAAGGGGGAAAAAAACTGGAGAGCATCGTGGATTGATATAATTGCATGTTTACGCCAACTGATTTGTGACATATTACTGGTTATAATGCATCAAAAAGATGGTTGTGTCATAAAGATTGATGGCAGATTTCATTTCAGCCGGCGCGCATGGGATAGATTCACAACCTGCCAACATTTCTTTGGCCTCTAATGAGAGCGTTAAAAATCACTGGCTGCTGCTGCGGATCATTTGCTGACTGCACGGATTTCAGATGATGCCTGTTACTTCTACAATCGGGAGATTTTGCTTGTATAATTAATAAAGTAACACTATTCCTCAGAAAGTTCAACACTAAGGGAATCCACAAATCCAACCGTGAGTGTTTACCTCATAACATGACCTACATGGACCACATACTGTCGAGGACACGCTCTTTCAAACCACATGGGGATCCAGACATCAGGTGGGTGTCTGTGCAAAACCCATGAATGAATCCTGGGGTCGTTTTGTTTTATGTGGGAATATTCTTGTGGTAAAGACAGGTTTAGCGATGTGTTAGAGCGGTTTGAGTTTTTCGTCTATTGGTTGTGGCGAGCTTTTGTCTGGGACGCTCCATCTGTTTATGCGCTTTCTGAAGTTGACAGTGTAAGAACACCTTGTGGAGCATTGAGGAAAGTGACGGGTGTGAACATGCTGGACATTTATTAGATAGATAGATAGATAGATAGATAGATAGATAGATAGATAGATAGATAGATAGATAGATAGATAGATAGATAGATAGATAGATAGATAGATAGATAGATAGATAGATAGATGGATGGATGGATGGATGGATGGATGGATGGATGGATGGATGGATGGATGGATGGGTGGATGGATGGATGGATGGATAGATAGATAGATAATTATTAAAAGAGAAAGAAAGAAAGAAAGAAAGAAAGAAAGAAAGACAGAAAGAAAGAAAGAAAGAAAGAAAGAAAGAAAGAAAGAAAGAAAGAAAGAAAGAAAGAAAGAAAGAAAGAAAGAAAGAAATGGATGGATGGATAGACAGATGGATAGAAAGAAAGAAAGAAAGAAAGAAAGAAAGAAAGAAAGAAAGAAAGAAATGGATGGATAGACAGATGGATAGACAGATGGATAGATAGATAGATAGATAGATAGATAGATAGATAGATAGATAGATAGATAGATAGATAGATAGATAGATAGATAGATAGATAGATAGATAGATAGATAGATAGATAGATAGATAGATGGATGGATGGATGGATGGATGGATGGATGGATGGATGGATGGATGGATGGATGGATGGATAGATAGATGGATGGATAAATAATGATTAAAAGAGAAAGAAAGAAAGAAAGAAAGAAAGAAAGAAAGAAAGAAAGAAAGAAAGAAAGAAAGAAAGAAAGCAAGAAAGAAAGAAAGAAAGAAAGGGATGGGTGGATAGATAGATAGATAGATAGATAGATAGATAGATAGATAGATAGATAGATAGATAGATAGATAGATAGATAGATAGATAGATAGATAGATAGATAGATAGATTTTCAGTGTCAGAGATAGACTGACAAAGAAACAATGTTGAAGAATGAGACTGTACTGCGCCGGTAACAACGACCGGCAATTCATACCTGAGATCTCCGACTGCGGGACGCCGTTTAACGTGAAGCCTTTGCCGCTGTAGAACTGGCGCACGTCCGTGCAGCTCCGCGCTTTACCACCCGCGTTCTCCGCGGACAGAGACACGGACACGAGCGACACGAGCAGCGCGACCGCTGTCAGATCCATTGTGTCCCGGATCCAGAGGCTGGGGAGGAAGAAGAAGTCCTGATGCTCTGCACTTCACACAGCCAAACAAAGCATCCGATTCTCTCCGCAACTGCGGGACAGAGTATAAAATCCACTTGTTTAGCGATGTCCTGCCTTAAAAGCGGTGGTCCTGATGAAAGAGGATGTGTGTGTTTTTGATCAGTCCGGTGGGGATCTGTTTCTGGCGCTCATGTCTTTACTAAATATTAATAATGCATAACTGATAATATGCCTATAACAGAATAAACATTAGATGCTGTTGGAGGAATAATCTCTGTGCTGCTGCTGCTGTGCGCTCCTGTTCTGTCTGCCTCTCTACTGTCCCGTCCTCACCGAACAATAGTCATGTCCGATTCGCAAACGAGTCGCTCTTTTGAATCGACTCATTTGAACGATTCTCACGAAACAATTCGCTTATGAAGAAATGCATTTTGGGCATAAAGGGCATAGTCTGACTGGTGTACATAGACTGGAACTAGTTAAGACAAGCAAACATAACCTAGTTTAAGCAGATGTCAAGCTTAGTATTGAGCAATTCCTAAACATTGAGCCAACTGACATTCTTTGAGTGTCAGATTTGAACTTCTGACAGCAAAAAAAAAAGGTAAACTGTAAGATATAGGAGATACAAAGTAAACAATAATAGTGACGTCACAAATGTGGCATATACAGATCAACATTCCCAGATGGTTCCAGTCTGGTTTATATTTAGTTTTTGGGGGACCAAATTTTTCTTTTTTGGTAACGTAAACACAGTGAGTTTTTATTTTTGTTTTGTAACAACTTTAGAAGAACCTAAAGGTGAACATTCCAGGAACATTCCCCTAACCCAGTGAACATCATGCGTAAAGAAAAACTTCCTGCTAACCAAATCAAGAATGTTTTGAGAACCAAAAATTGTTAGCAGGGTGAACTAAATCTTTTATTCTATTGATTTATTTATTTACTGCATGTTGGCTAATAGCTGATGCACATGTTAACCCAAACCCTTATAAATTTCATCGAAAAAATGTCTAGAGTCTCTCACATCAAAACAAATTGATGTACAGACCTTGACAGACGGCACGAAATGTTGACAGAAGTTTCATAAAATGTTCACGCATTGGTATTAAAACATAAACATAATTTCGAGCACTGAGTGACCAAAATGGCATTTATCACTGTAACTTCAAATATTTCTTTATAGCAAAAAAAAAAAAAAAAAACCTTTGAGAAACAGTTGGACGAGATGAATCATATGAACCGATTCACTAAAAAGCTCCGTTCGTTCGCATTCCCAACGGATTTCCCAGCGGTACTGAACAAGTCCAGCCCTGTGGTAGAATAAAAGAGAAGGGGTGGGTGTAAGGACACCTGCAGGTGGTAGTAAACGCCCCTGCCGCCTTGCCAGACTACTGTAACAGAATGAATCCAGTATAGCAATTGATTTTGAGGCGGGATATTAAACGGGCGCGATCGTGTAACAGAGTGAATCGGTTATGGGCTGAAACCGAGAACACAGCCGGCAGAGAAAGCCTGTTATTTTTCAGTCAAGACACGTCTAATTAAGAGCACTTAAACTCTCGCGGGTTTGTGTTGAGCGGGTTTATTTCAATTACACGGGGGTTACAGCTGCATAAAGATGAAGAATAATTTTTACAACACGCCTACTTGTAGCTACAATAAACGCGTATTGAACCACGAGGCTTGTTTGATCTCTTAGACGCGGGAATGAAAAGAGAACGAGTGTCTGATAATATAGTTAGGGAATATTAAAACACTCACCTGCAACCTCAAAGCAGTTTTAAAGAACATTTCTAAGCATTTCTATATAGTTGCAATAAACTTGGTTGGCACCAAAAACAATGGGATTAGATTTGTGCAAAATAAAATGAATGCAACTTTTACGAAAAATAACACAATTCTAAATTAAAATGACAATGGGAATAAAATAAAACTTAAAAAAAAAAAGAATTAAAGACAATCAGCTTTACTTTCGCTTAAAAAAAGATTTAAAAATTACTTTTGGAATGAATAGATAAAAATCTTTCTTTATTTAAATTACTATAATGTTTTTTTTTTTTTTTTGTAGGCCAAAAATGTATTTTTAAATAACCGAATGACCTAAATTAAATATTTTAATGCTTAATAGGAGAACAACTTACAATCACATAACCATCAGTAAATCTTCTTTGATGACCCAATTAGAATGCAGGCAGCAGAAATCGAGAGTCATCAGACCAGGCAACACTTTTTCAATCTTCTATTGTCCAATTTTGGTGAGCCTGTGTGATTTGTAGCCTCAGTTTCCTGTTCTTAAATGATAGGAGTAGCACCCAGTGTAGGCTTCTGCTGCTGTAGCCCATCTACTTCAAGGTTGGACGTGTTGTGCTTTCAGAGATGCTGGCCGTTCTCCTCTGACCTCTGCCATCAGAAAGGTTTTTTGCGCCAACAGAACCGCCGCTCACGCATATTTTCTCTTCTTCAGACCATTCTCTGTAAAGCCTAGAGATGGTTGTGCGTGAAAATACCAGTAGATCAACAGTATCTGAAGTACTCAGACCAGTCCTTTTGTCACCAACAACCATGTCACGTTCAAAGTCACTTAAATCACCTTTCTTTTCCATTCTGGTGCTCAATTTGAATTGCAGCAGACGGTCTTAACCGTGTTTACATGACTAAATGCATTGAGTTGCTGTCATGTGACTGACCGATTAGAAATTTGCATTAACGAGTAGTTAAAGATATACCTAATAAAGTGGCCGGTGAGTGTATATTACAGTAGACTGTAAATCAGAGGTCACACAAGCTATTTGTTTCCCAAATGCTGAATATCACACTTGAAAGCTCAATAGCATTGAGCATATTAAGAGAATAATAAAACACTCACCTTTCATTCATCTCAAAGCAGTTTTAAAGCCAAATTCTAAGCATTTCTACAGTTGCCATGCACTTGGGTTGGCACAAAAAACATAGCAACGGCAAAATGAAGGGTTTCAGTGTGGCGGGAGACTAGGAAATGTTCATGACAGCTTAATTGGCATCTAAATAATAAGACACGGCTAATTAAAAACAAAAGCAGCATAAATTACAACATGACTGCTGAAAGACATGAGGACTCAATTGCACGTTTTGGCTGTGATTGGTTTAATGCAAACACTGCTCAGCTGTAAATTATTCTACAGAATATGTTTTCAGAAATTATGTCAGCGATACAAAGAAGGTTCAGATGAAGGTGAAAAACATTTATTAGGATATACAAACCAGGCCAACAGGAAAATACACCATGAAGCGTTGCTCAGAGGTTGAACCTAAGGTGTGAAAATTGACTCAGATTTAAACCCCAAAGGCAAAAGTGAGAAAAACGTGTGTAAAATGTGAAAATATGATATTTTATTGATCAACTGATGTGCAAATACTTACAGTAACAATATGGCGCAGTCAGAGCTACGTGGAAAGTGGCGTTAAAAACATTAACCAACGTTTTAAGACTGAGAACGATCAAAACTAACAATATGTAGTAAAATGTTGACTCTAGCAGAGTTAAGCATCCATGTTATGAACGTTTGTACTAAAAGTAAAGTGTTTTAATATTCTACGATTCAAGCTACTTGCAACATTTTAATGGTTATATGCACAACCTGAATATCATATACACACTTTGTATAGACATAGATTTCAGTATAAATATGTTAAATGTACAATTTGCCTTTTTTTATAAACAAAAATAAAAGCCCTACAATTGCACGAGCAGGTGGGTCAATCTTACAAAAAAATATTTTTTTTTCATCAAAAAACAAAATAATATCTATATATTCAACTTAAAAACAAACGAAAAGAAAATCAGCCATATTGAAGTCTAGTATTGATTTCGTAATGAAATGTTTATTACTCTATTTTGAGAAAATAATATTTATATCAAATATTTATAAATAAAAGTCCTTAAATTAGATATATAGGTTTTACAATATTTAATTATGCACTTTTTACGATCGTAGAAATGAAGCAGAAATACTGTAGTTAAAAAAAATCAATTTGTAAAATATGCTATAATTCTCTTTATTTGTCTATTAATTTGGCTAATTCGTACAAATTTATACAAGTTAAGTCGTACGAAAGTGTACGATTTTAAAAAGGAGGTGTGGCACCAAACGCCGCCCCTAAACCCAATTGTCACTGAGGTATAAGCAACTTGTACTAAATTGTGCGAATGAGATGGTACAAATTCGTACGAATAAGGCACTAAATCAAAAAGTTACGAATTACCATGAGATTGTGCTGGATTCACCAAGGTAACTGATGATAAGGTTGTCATGATACTGGAATTCGGTACCAATTGGTACTAAAATTTTAAAAACGTCCATTTCCCGCTAACATTTAAGCGCCGTTGAGCACATCACGTATTTTAAAGTCACGTCAGCACCTTTGAGCATGTGTTTTAAAGTCACGTCAATCAGCTGGTTGTCTATAAGCTGACATACGAGCAATCTGCTGATGAATCGTGGCTTTAAAACGCTCCAGTGCCCGTCTATCTATGGTGACACTCAGTAAATAGCGGTGAGTTCGGTGAACTGATGACCTTTACAGCCAATCAAAGTCATTTCTGTTGAGTACGTGAACACAATGGTAAATCGGTAGTGTTTAGGAACATAAAAATTATACGAATGAGGTTGTACGAATTCGCATAAATTAAAATCATGAAGTTACGAAATCAAAAAGTTACGTATTGCTGTGAGATTGTGCTGGATTCAGCCAGGTAACTGATAATAGAGTTGTGACACTACTGGAATTCGGTACCAATCATTACAGTGATTTTAAAAATGTCCCTTTCCCGCTAACATTTAAGAGCTGTTGAGCACGCCACTTATTTTAAAGTCACGTCAGCACCTTTGAGGATTTGTTTTAAAGTCACGTTAATCAGCTGGTTGTCTATAAGCTGACATACGAGCAATCCGCTGATGAATCCGCTTTAAAACGCTCCAGTGTCCCTGTATCTGTGGTTACACTCAGTAAACAGTGGTGAGTTCGGTGAACTGATGACCTTTACAGCCAATCACAGTCATTTCTGTTGAGCACGTGAACACAATGGTAAATCAGGAGTGTTTAAGAACGTGCTCAACAGTGCTCAAATGTTCGCAGGAAATTGACAATTTTATAATTTTGGTATTAATTGGTACCGATTTTCGGTTTTGTGACAACCCAAACTGATAAAGGGGGAATAATTAAAGTTGCATAATTAAATTATATATATATATTAAAAAAAAAAAAAAAAAAAAAAATATATATATATATATATATATATATATATATATATATATATATATATATATATATATATATATTTTTTTTTTTTTTTTATATATATATAATTTAATTATGCAACTTTAATATATATA